AAATTACCATTCATTGATGAGAATAAATTTCTTGCTGAGACGAAGAAGCTTGAGGACACCTTGACGGTATGAAAGATAGTCTTAATTTTTTTTGTTCCTTTTCCTTGTATGCTGTTAGCCTCCGTTAAGAGTATATACTTTGACCTTTGTTACTCAAGCTTAGGTAATCTCAGAGTTCTATGTAAGGTGATATGCTACCTTATGAATTTTCTAAATAAGCAGTAAGCTTGAAGAGCTAGCTATTCAACATTTGAATAGAGCACTAATGAGGGGTAATCTTTTATACTGAAGGTTATATGCATGAGTAAATAAGTCACATTCAGAGTTGATATTGAAAAGTGGCTAGACAAGGAGTTCAGTATGGCTTGGTATTTTATTGAACATTTAGTTTATAGTTGTTGAATTTATCCTGGAAGAATGTTGGCGAGTGGATTGTTGAACAAAATTCTGAACCGTGCAAGTACTGTGACAAGCTTTGGCTATGTAACTCACTAAACTGCCAATTGATTGGATTTACTAAGGGTGTGTTTGAGCCACATTATTTTGGAAGAATATATTTTGGAATAGTAGATTGATGGAGAATGTGTGGTTAAAAAAGAAGGAAAAATTATTGATGTGATGGAAAATATTATTTTATTGGAGAATGTGTGGTTGAAAATGAGAATTGATTTACTGTAGAAAAATCTAAATTCCTCCCAAACAGGGCCCAAGTAATGTCCCAACAACACGGCCAAACGAGAGGAGATGAATTTGACACGCGAGTTGAGATTTAGAGCTTGTTTGGGATAGATTTTTGGGGGAAGAATTGATTTTGAATAGTGATATGATGGGAAATGTGTGGTTGAAAAAGAAGAAAAAATTATTGATGTGATGGAAAATATTATTTTATTGGAGAATGTGTGGTTGAAATGAGTAGAAGAATGAGAATGACAATTTTAGTGTAGCTTAAACATGGACTAATTTTCTCAATTGTCAGTTAGTGGGGACTGTAGGTTTGAAGACATTCTACTTTCATCTTCACAGATAAACCTAGCCCATTCTTAAGAACTGATACTGGTGCGTTCTCTAATATTGCAAAAGGTGCATGGGAAGTTGATAATCTTAGTTTTTTTTTTTCCTGGTGGAAAAAGAAAGGTGAATGAAAATGAAGGGGAGATGACGAGTTTCGAAATCCTCACGTAAAGTGTGGGGATACTAGATTGACAAGAAAAGAAAGGAAAGCTGAGTGAGCTATCTTGCACCACAATAATCCCCTTTTTAGTCGTTTCACCACCTGCTGCTTTAATTGGTTCAGCTCTCTTTTCACATCCTTTTACGAGCCTTTTGTGGCTAATGTTTCTCACGTGATGAAAAGCCTGAGTAACTATGCCAGATGTTTTACTGAATATGGAAGCTAGATATGAAGGCTTTCGGTAGCGGCAACAATGTCCCCTCTGGAAAATTTTCATCCTTGAACCTTTCCCTGAGGATTTTTGTGTTCTATTTTCTCCCTTTTGCGTGCACGGTAGTGCTATGTAATTATATGCAACCAGGCTAAGTTCTTTACCTTTCACGTATGGCAGTGGATTTAATTATGTGTATTTTCCTTATTAATAATATTACTATAGTTATTTTTGTTTTTGGTTTCGGAGGGGAGGGGATGGCTCTCTTGAATTATTCAATCGAGTTTGTGAATGCACAGAACAAATGCATTTCCAAAACCAAGAGTTCAAAGAAAGGCTGAGAAGGGAGTCTAGTTGGGGGACGGTGTGCGTTACAAACTTTTGACTGATTGATTTTCCCATACGGATTCTTGCATAATATAAGAATAGTTACAATCTAAATGTGGTAAGTGTAATTATAACCCAAATACATATACAAAATTATGTTAAACGGACAATATTTATTAAGTCATAATCTTCGCGATCTTCATCAATATCTATGTTCTCTATTGATCCCATCGATATCCCTTCTCAAATTGACGCTGGATGGATTGGCAGACCTAAATGGATTGGCAGACCTGCTGGAGGAAATGATGTGATGTATATTGACCAACAACAGACTTTAATTGCCGCGGGAAATGAGAGAATTGAAGAAGGTTTACCAGGTCAAAAACGAGTCACCACAAAATAAACTGGATCCGGGACTCCAGCAGTGATGATATATATGTAAAGTGGCGTCCTTTCAGTTTATAACTAGGTCAGAAACAACCTAACCAGCAAAGTTGATAGGTTCAGACTTTGAGCCAACCCCCCTCTGGAAACTTGCTCGAAGTTGGAAAATGGAGATGTTGGGTACGGGGGCTGCTTCTGTATGTTTGGTTTCTCTGGAGAAGTATAGCATACATGGAGAAGTGCTGGAGAGTATTATTAAGTCCAGCCTTCATCTTGTACTATAATATTCTAGGGATACAATGGCTATATATTCTCAATTATGCAGCAAAGACTTTTAGGGGATGTGGATTCCGGTGTTTGGGTCCACACGTTTTATATACAGACTCGACATGCAAAATTTTTTCAATGTAGCTTGGTGAACTTTCTTGAAAACAATGTGAAAGTGGTCACTTTCTCCCCTTTTCTGTCAAGGTTTCTACATTTTTAAGATGACATGTGCATTGATGTACAATATTTACCGCAAAATTGTTTACCATGAATATTTTCCACTGTTTGCCTTATGGAATGAAATATTTTGCAGCTAGTGGCAGGTGACCGCCGTGGTGGTGGAGGCAGTTGTCATGTTCAAAACTGTCTAATTCAGCATGGATCAAACATTTGAGCCTGCCTATGATAGTGTAGTCAATTAAGGCAATTAATTTTTCTTCTTAATTCTTTATTTCTGTACTGTTTGCTTTCTTGTTTGTGCAGATTTTTAACAAATTCTTGTAAGGAAGCAAATTTTGACCAGCCAAAAGGCTTATTTCCATTTGCATGTTCTGCGAGAAAAGAACTTGTGGGCATGTTTGGCCAAGTTCGAATTTATTTTCTAGTGAATTCTTGTTTTCAAAATAGTTAAGGTAGGTTATTCTCTCTTATTTGTAATTAAAGAAAAAAAATTAGTTATTTTGCATATATTCACAAAAAATTGTTTATTTTATAACTTATTAGGTTTAGAACTACAAGATTTCCCATTTCAAGAGAGCTGATGAAGTGAAGAAATCAAAGAAAATAATCAATTAATTCAGATAAATATATTAAGCCTTCATTTGGTTTAGATTAAAAAGTTAATAAAAACTTAAATTAACATTAACAATTAATTTTAATCATATTTTATGGGTTCACAATTTTTATCATCTTTTCCAATATATATTTCATTAATTTTTTTTATTGAAATTCACTAAAAATTCGATTTTTAGCAAAACTAAAGAGGGGTAAATAATAATGTTAAATTTGTGAGTTTTGTTACACAAACATAATGCTTGATAGAGGGAATGACACAACACACATATGGGGAGGTTGGCATTATTTAATTTAGGTCGGGACTCACATTCAATGTGAGTGGTCGGTCAACCCCTATGTCAAGCATTATGTTCATTTAGCTTAATTCTAAATTTGTTTTGTTGCCCAGATGAGGGATTTAAACTCATCTATCCTAGGGAATTAGATAACACAAATAAAGGCATCGAAAGAGCTAGTCTAGTGCAAGCAAAGGGAATTGACTCGAGTCGTGAAAAATGGCTTGTTCCGTTCGTTTAGTGAACTACTAACGAGATTCTTGGATAACATTTTGCAGGTTATAATCCAATTCTTTCTTTCTTTATCCAACACTTTGTTTTTGAGTGATGGTAACTAAAGTAAGCTCCTTGGCCAGGGAGGGGCTTGCTATTTTAACCTTATCTCCAGGTGTGCCTGAAAAAGCTAATCTCATCTTTTCTGTTCTAGTCATAGGTTGGTGTAAAGAAAAAGGGTCGGCTTCCCTGTAGTACATGAGATCTTCCTTGGAACAACGAGGTAAGTTGATGCAAATCAATACATTGCTGACGTCAAGTGGGCATTTGATTAAACAATAATGGACACTATAACGAACAAGATTTTAACTTCTTTTCCTTCTTTAATAGTGTGCAGTGCTTCTATCAAACGTGCACCAAATGCTTCCACGCATACTAGAACCCTACCTTGAACTAGAATTAATCTAATGAAATGAGATACGTATACCATTATACTTCTGCATTTGAACACACCTTTGTTCTCCAAGTACACTGAGCCAAACCATCTCAGAACTAAAGCAACACAATGAAGACAATGTAGTGATTATAATTTTCTCTCGTTTCTCCCGCCTATATAATTACTACAAGGTTACTTGAGAACAAATAAGACATGGGGATATCGATGGTCGTCTTGAGTTTGGGCAGTTCAATTTTTAATCTTAAGAACTGAAACATATATTGAAAGATAATGATCCTTGGTCCATCTCCTAGTGAACATGACATGGGAAAAATTATCTAGTGCTGCTGTAGCACCAGGACAAGGTAAGCTCATTGAAATAAGAAATTTTTTTGCAGATGAGCAGTTTGCCCGATCATTTTGTCACATAATTTTCTCAAATGCTGAACTAAAGTTCGAACTATTCAGCTTAGTCACAACTTTCTATGGAAAACTAGCCACAGATTGTCAAATTAGAAGTTGCAAAAGATAAAAATTTTCTTATGACGCAATTATCAGATTCATTTTATGGCTTTTGTATTGTGTTCGATATGCAGTATTAGTACAAATCCACAAGATTACTTTTTCTTATTTATTATTGTCTTAACACTACACAATACTAACAATACAAACACTGATGTCATGTTTGGTGAGGGAAGATTGGGCAACGATGGATATATTGAGGAAGAAGAAAAAGCTAAAATCTTATCCGTCATACTATGTAGCTCTGATTGTGCATACCAAATAGGCACTAACCGTTTTCAAGTTTCGTCTAAACGAACCAGAGAACTCAAACATATACCTCATGATAAACAACTCTGTTGGTGGGGAAGTTCTTAGATTATCAAACTGTACCAAATTTCAATATATTTCAACAGGTAATCATTGAAGAAAATAACCAGACAAGAAGAACAAAAATCCCAGAAACAAACCACCCCATATAAGCACAGCCTTTTGGCCAGAGGTCAGTGCATTACCACCCAATCCAAATTGCTGATTCTCAGCAAAACCGGCAATCTCTACACTCTTACTCTCGAAGAAACTCTTGGAAGCTCCACAGGTTGGGCACCTCCAGTCCTCTGGAAGCTTATCAAAAGGAAGCCCTGGTGGAATTGGATATGAAGGGTCCCCTGCAGCTTGATCATATCTGAACCCACAAGATCTGCAGTCATATATTCCAGTATTCAACACTGCAAATTTCTCCTCTAGCCTTCTTTTATCAAATCTCACCTCAGGTTCCTCTTCAACCGGGGTTTCTGCATCCTGGGTTGTTTCCGGAATTGGTTGTTTGTCTTCTTTGGAGACGTCAATTGACTTAATTACTGTGAAAATGGGCTTTAAGGGTCCGTAAGAAATGGGTTCAAATTTAGGGAATGTGAGCTGTGGTTTGAGTTTACGCACAGAGTAAGGAGATTTGAAGGGGTTGAAAGTAAAGGAGGGTCTGGTTATTGCTGACGCCATTGAAGGATTTTGTTGTGTTCTTCAATTTTTCTTTATTATCATTTTTTTTTTCAAATGAGGAGAATTTGTGATTTTTTTTTTGGTTTGATTCTGAGATTGCAGGAGAATTTGTGTTGGTGGTGTTCGTGTGTGGTTCTTACTGATTCAAGAAATCAAATGGGATGGAATCCATCGAAGAGAAGAGCATATGCCTTATGAGTGGGAAAGGATAAGGCGGAGTTTTATTTTGAATAATGCAAAAATCAATTTTTATATCAATTTACTCTTTCTTTTATTTTCCGTTAAATTTTCTTCGAAAAAAATAATGAAATTTTTTATATGGAAAATCTTAATTCTCACCATTTTACTATTAATTTGGTTAGGAGTGAGTATTTTAATCGGAATCGAACTGAAACCTTTTAGTTCCAAAATAATTAAAAAAAAAAATAGTACTCAAAACCGAAAACTAAGAACTGAAGGGATTCAAGTCGAATCTTGGTTCTTGAATCAAAAACGTGAGTACTCTGAAATTGAATTTGTCATTTCTATTAATTTTTACTATTTATTCACTTTGGTCCATAACTTCGACTCAACAAATAGCAAGCTTACAAGGTTCAGAAAGTAGTAAATTTGTAATGTCCAATTAGTGAGTACCTAATCAATGAGATTCATTCATTTGAATAACTGAATCATCTTAAACTCGTTCATAGTCACTCCTAGTCGTACTTTACCCGTTGTCCTCCATAAAACCTTCTTGAGGTCTCACATGTCGATCTACCGCTCGAATTAAATGCTATTATGCTAGATTTTGGACTAATAGTAGCATATATGCAGTTGATTAAGAAAGTTTTCAAATATGTATTTGGTGTCAGCATTTTTTTTTTCTTTCTGTAAGATATTGGGAAGATAATTTGTATTGTTAACTTTCGATTTTTTTTTAAAAAAATAAAATATTATGGGTAGAAATGTACTCGAATTTGAAATCGAGGGTTCGAATTTGGGTTTGGTATTAGTAATTATATGGACCCGAGTATTTCATTTATGAAAGACATGAAGTGTATTGGATGGTTCGAGTAATGAAATACCTAGATTCACCCACCCACGCTTAACATAAATCTAGTTGTGAATTGAATGGTTTAACATTTTTCTAAACACTCTGAATATAGAACATGTCGCCCGGGTCATAAGGGGCTTGGTAACTTGATGTATCTTCACATTTATTCGGATTATCACCCAGAAGTATTTAATCTTGTAAGTCGATCCTTATTTATTTTGATGGAATCCAAGGAAGGCAACAAGCTATTAATGATTCGATATATTTTGAAAAGAGGGTAAAGGCAAGTTTGAGATCAAATAGAGTCAATGAATCTATGCAATCACTTGTTCAAGGTACGGAATCCAAGAAGGTAAAGTTAACAAGCCAAATATCAAGTTCTATGTTGGACATGGGAGCAAAAACAAGTCGAAATGCATTGAAATCAAGAACTTAAATTTGGAGGACACAAAACCTGGGTGTGATCACATGCCTCTATACCGAGAATCAAAGGTGGATTTTTGATGAACTACGCGACCGCATGTTTCAACGCTATGCGACTGCATCGTACAAGTCTAGCATCGAATTTTTCAATTTTTGAAAAGAATTTTAGTTTAGTTAAATTTTTTTTTATTGTATCTTTTTTATATCTTTTAGGTTTAATTCCTTTTTTAACAAGAGTTTTATGAATTCTCTATACATGTGATTATTCTTTTCATTCTAAAAACACACAATTAGAGATATATTATTATAAGACATATTGCTTTCAACTCATTATTCATTGAATTAATTCCGAACTTATCAAGAATTAAATTTTTGTGGTGTTCGACGATTTAAGTAAGGGTTATAAGTGATCATGGGATCAAGATATTATTGGCGATTGTTTTGGTTATTTGGTTCAATAATTTATTGAGTCGAGCTTTCAAATGTTGATTATTTGTTTTTTTTTGGGTTTGATCTAATTTGTCGTGAATTTTGTAGTTTCAATTTCTACGTGTGTTCGCACCAGATTTTTTAAAGATTTGTATGAAATTACTGGAAGTCTTTTGTAGACTTTTATGGACTTTCATTTTAAAACTTTTATAGACTTTTGTAGAAAAAAATAGAAACTAAAATTAATAAATTTTAATCATAACTCTAATGTGGAAAAAGAAAAGAGAAATATTGAAACAAATACATATTAATTATTTTTATTTATTTGTTTTGTGAAAGTCTCCCAAAATCTTGTGATTAATGGGAGATAAATTTTTAAATTTTTTTTTAACAATTTCTTCTTAAAAGTTAGTACCATGGATAAAAGTCTCTAAAAGTGATAACAATTTGAAGGTTCCAAAACTTATAGAGACTTAGGAGGTGTTCGGTAGAGATTAAAATCGGATTAAAATTTAAAAATTAGTCGTTATTGTTGACTTTTATTAGACGAGTGAGATCCAATAACGGTTATATTTTCAATTTTAATTGAATTTTAAGTTTAGCCAAACATGCTCTTATAAAATGTTTTAATTGGATATGCTGTGACTTTTAGAGACTTTTTAAAAGTTTATAAAAATTTCAATTGAATACACTAATACTTCTAGAGACTCTCTAAAAATCTACATTGAATACTGATAAACTTTTTAAATCCCTTAAACATCATTAGAATATTTTGATAAAATTAATAAAATGTGTAGTTAAAAAATTATGAATTTTATAAAATATGTGATTAGAATTAATGAGTGATTATTTAACCTACCAAACATGGGCTTAATCTTTTATTCTATTTTATTTATTACATTTTCATCGTTCTTCATATTTTCCGTTACAGATGCTGCGCGCGTGAACAAAATGAAATGTTGCTATTGGTTAGCCAGTGGCAATACGGTCTTAGCCTAACACGCAACCAACTAGCCAAATAAAGACGCAGTTCATGAACCCATTCAATTCCCCCAACCTAACTACAACCCTCTTCGGCCCCAACCCTAATCAAAATCGAATCAACAACCACACTCCGGCCCCCCATGGCCTCCGCCGAAGACCCCAGTAACACCGGTGCCGCCCTCTACAACGAAGACGAGGACCTTCTCGATGAGGAAGATGATGACGACAGCTCTGACCACGGCGAAGATGTCTATCTGGAGGCTGACGTTGACGTCGATGAGGATTCGGCCTCCTCGTCTCCGGCCACTGCATCTGCGTCTGTTTCTGTTGTCGATCGGCCTCCGGCTTCTGTCTCCGCCGCTCAAGTTACCGTCGCCGTCGCTGACGTCCCCGATTTTCGTGTGAACCAGCAGTTACAACAACAGCAGCATATTCCTGATGACGTGATCACTGGCGTCACCAGGAAGCCGCAGGCTATAGCGTTCCCCGACGAGTCACGCAAGCTGTTTCAGCGTCTCTGGACTGATGAGGACGAAATCGAGCTGTTGCAGGGGTTTCTGGACTATACTACTCAGCGTGGGCCACAAAGTTCATCGCACCACCATGATACGACGGCCTTCTATGACCAGATCAAGGATAAACTGCAGCTTGATTTCAATAAGAATCAGCTTGTGGAGAAGCTGAGGAGGCTCAAGAAGAAGTATCGCAACGTCATAAGTAAATCTGGTTCCGGCAAAGATCACGCCTTCAAGAGTCCCCACGACCAGGCCACCTTCGAAATCTCCAGTAAAATCTGGGGCGACAGTGTTGGAGTCAACGGCTCCGCCGTTCGTGCTGCCCCGACTGATGAGGCAAGGTTTGACGATAATGATCCTAACAACTCCAATTTTGTTGGCAACCAAAGCCCTAACCCGAACAACCCTAATGGCTTCGATGGAAATAGCAAGACGCCCCGATCCAGGAAGCGAAACCGAGCTGGAGCATTGAAAGTCGAGGAAAAACAGCATGCCTTTACCGGTAATACTCAAATTAATCAGCCATCAGTGGGAGTGGGTGTGGTCACCCCAATGGCTACTCCTTTAGGCGTGGGGATACCAGCATCAATATCAAACGTGATTGAGGAGACTGTGAGAAGCTGTTTGTCGCCCTTTTTCAAGGAGTTGTTGGGAAATTCTACGAATTTGAATGGGAATGCACTGTATGGAAACCGTGGGTTTGGGTTGGCTTTGAGTCCCATGCCTTTGGGTTTTAGTGGAGTGACTAGTGGGGAGATGCTCGTTGACGAGAAGTGGAGGAAGCAGCAGATATTGGAATTGGAGGTGTTTTCAAAGAGGTTGGAGTTGGTGCAGGATCAGATTAAAGCACAGTTGGAGGAGCTCAGGTCCATGGGGAGTTAATGGCCAGCTTTCTTCAGTAGCAAGTGTTTACTGGCTTTTTAACTTTCCTGACTCATGGGTTAGTAGTATATTTATTCATTTGTCTTTGATAAATGAGAAAGTGCAGATTCTGTTTAGATTTTTAATTTGGTTGCTGAATAATACTTCTAATAGTTAGGCCTTTGATGGGTTGCGTGTCTCCCCTAGTCTGTGAGGGATATTGTTTGATATGTACATCGGAACTGACATGGACTAGTAGTTTACTTAGATAATTATATGCTATAATTGCTATCGCTCTTCAAATTATGCATCTGTGAATGCATTTTTCATTTCTTGCTCTGTTTTCTCTCAGCAAACACTTTCATCATATGTAACTTCTGATATTTGGAGTTCTCTCTCTTATAAATTCTACAGAGGATTATGATCTCTGAATTTCATTATGAAATACTTTGAATTTTTATTGTGTAACCATGATCTTGATTGATGCTCTCTATTGAACTTTTTTGTCATCATTGAACTTGAAAATCTCGCAAGGATGCATAATTGCATATACTTAGATAAGTTTCTTGAAACATCCAGATGTGATTGTGTGATTGTAAAGAGTTGAAAAGCTAGTTGCTCTTCGGCATTTCCACTTTAACAGCTCCAACTTGAGAGAACATAAAGTGACCTGATGCGATAGTGGAGCTGAATCGCATAAGATACTTAGGTTTAGAAGAATTTTATATTGATGAGTTACTGTGACCCGTGTCAGGATGGCTACAAGTTCTAATGAAAGGTTGGTTGGCTTGTCAGAATCGAAGGGCATATACACTGTTAGAAACAAATTATATACCTAACTGTTATGCCATTACCTGGTTTTTCCCAGCTCCTTAATCTTATGGATAGTTAAGTCCTGGAATCCTAGATTGATAACTGGAGATAACTCATTCAAGGTCCCAAATTTGATCAGTATTTTATATTTATCGATCACGTATGTCTGTAGACTCAAGGTTCTGCATCATTAAATAAAGTGAAGATTGTTTTTGGATTACGTGGTCAGAAGTGATGACAGAGGGAGGTTGGTGATTATTAGCGTATTGGCTACATAGGGAAGCTGATTCAGCACATGGGACCAATGAGAACCAAAGAGTTTCAATCCATTTATCTGGCTTAAGTATGTATAGCTTTTCGGATCTCATGAGATGATTTGCATTTATGTATGAAGTTAGTTATATGTGTGTGTGTGTGTGGATTGATTTGTTAGGAATGCAATGTATCCTTGACATCATGCTCACTCTGTTTTAAAACATGTCCACGTTCTCTTTATGAGCTAATGCATAGATCTTTATGATGTAGAAAACTTGTGACATTCAGATGTAGGAATGATACTGGTGCAGACTCAGCCTCCACTCACTTTTATTGTGAAACCACTACCGCAAACTTATTCGCAAAATTTTGAATCCTTTTTATTTTCTCTTCAACTTGATTTACAGGGTTTTCGTTTGTCAACTAGATTGGCTTGAATTGCAATAATAAATTATTCTGTGTCACTTCTTCGTATGTAACACAGGCATAATGTGGATTTATCACTGTTCTTTATCAACTTTGTCATCAAGACGATTCTTGAGATGTAAATAATTTGTTCTGAGTTTGAAATCTTTGAACTTGTGTTGTTTTCACAAAGATAATTACATCCATCCAACTCGGTGATAATGTCACGAAGTTCATGAATTTGTATGCCCCATTTAGCAAGACACCACACTAAGTGACATCGTCTTCAAAATGACATCTTGTTATTGACCAGTATGAGTTCAGATGTCGAAATATGAGCGGGGGATTGCCAAGGTTAACATTTATTTTCTATTACTTGGATAATACAATGTTAAAAATAACTTGCAATTGTTCTTTGCCTAAAAATTTATTGTTTAAGTTCTTAGTTCTTGCACCAGAATCATGAGTATTCGACTCTAAAATTGAATTTGTCCCTCTTTGTAAGTACTTATTGTTAAAAATTTATTCACACCAATCCAATGACCCGATTCAAAAAGTATGAAGTTTGCAAGGACCGGTTAGTGTTAGATCCAAGTTGTAAGTACTATAATCAATCAAATTCATTTATCTGAATTTAATCTCACTTTCATTTATAGTAACAATTACGTTGACTTGAATGGTTTCATTTACGAAATATTCGAATTATAATGAGTGGTTCTGAGTATTGAATACTCAGATCGATCCATCCAATACTTAGGCCTAGTCTTCTTAACAACCACGAGAACCTGCAATCGTATCTTTGATATCTTGTTTTGGAGTGAAGAGATGCATATGATTTTTTTTTTGTCATATTTTAGTTTAACATACAAAATATGTTTGAAGAGTAGAAAATATAGGAATTTTCAATTAATGCAATCCCATGTTATCATTAAGCCAACACAAGAAAAACCAAAATCTACTGACATTTACACTCTTCAAGGGAATGAAAAGAGTCGTGAAATGAAGGACAAGTTCAAAAGATACAAAGTATACGTTTCCCTTGTAGAAAAGAGATGAATAATCCTATATTCAGTTGAAATTTCTTCTTTGTTTCCTCAAATACCTGCTCTGACTATGATGGCCTCTTTACAGTCAGCTCTCTTGATCTACAAGTGTGTTTCTGGTAAAATCTGGTACCTCTCGGGGCGTCTGCAATAAAATTATTAAATCCAGTTAGGGCTGGATAAAAATTCCAAGCAGTTTTTTTTTAAAATTAAATACCCGAATGGGTATCTGAATCGAAAATCGATGGGTTCGGTTCGATTCTCGTTTTTAGACTGAGAATCGAAAAATCGAATAAAAATCGAATATCCCTAATTTTTTTTTAAATCTTATATAAGTTAAATTATTTTTTTCTAAATAAATTTGCTAACTAACTAATTTAGCTCAAACCTAAAATATGATTTTCCCGCTTCTAATTTCCAGCCCAAATCCAACAAGTCAAATCAACCTAAATTTTACCAAAATCTCTTATTCAACTGTAGTGTCATTTCAGTTTGGAGAAATCGAACTGGAAACCTATCTTTACTATTGTGAGCTCGCTATCTTCATCTTCCTGCATATATCTCAGTCTGAGAGCTCAATTTTGTTGAACTTTTTAGAGCATCTAGGCATCTTCAAAACCATTTTTACATTATCATTTACATTTTTATGGATCGAAATCCAAAATTTCCTCCAATGTGAAAACCTAAAAAAATTGGGTGCAAGTTGGTTGATAGCTTTTTGTCCCTTGTAAGTCTCACATATATATCCTTTTTTTTTTTAAACATTTTCTGTCCAATATACATTTTGCATTTCCTTTGCATCTCTCTGTTGGAAATAATTTCAACCATTTTGAAGATATCTAAATCACAATTTAAACCTAATATAAAGTGCTATTGGAGATGTTCTTACATGCCTGCAAATGCATCCATATTCAGCATGGGAGGTGTGAGGTGGATCACTTAAATCCACTTGGCACATGATTAAGCTTTGAGCACTTGAAAATGATTGTGCTAGTTGATGTGTATTATGGACCATAGATTAAATCCAAGGTTCTTTGGCTCTATAATTGTAAGACTCCTTCTCTTGGACTTGGCATAACAAAAGAGAGGAAGCGTAGAGAGGTAACCAAGTGGGAGACGTTCATATCTCTGGTGAAATTCTTGGTGGCTTCCGTCAGATTCTTGTCTCGATATATCCATTGTCATTCTAGTTGACGACGGTGCATGATCGGATGTGGTGCAAATCTGAGCTCAACATCATAGGACACTCCACTGGTGGTGTTCAAAAAACTTTGAGTTGATTGGTTCGATTTTACACTTTGAGAGCTTATGTTTCCCATTTGTAGTTGTAATAATCATTTGTACACTATATTTTAAACTGTACAAATGGTATCAGAGCATAGGCTAGTGGTAGAAAGTGTTACAAAACCCTGAAAATCAGATTGGAAGTCGAAATGGTTCGGTTTTGTTCGAAAACAAGTTCAACCGAAACTTTAAACCCATTTTCTGGAAAAATCACGCACCTCATGGACGAACGGGGACTACCACCAGACTCCAGATGACGAGCAGATACTTACGATGCCACGCGTACAATACACACGTCGTCGATGAAGGGGCGTGTGAGCACCATGCGTAGAAAAAGAAGAGCGCTTAAGGACATGTGGGAGAGAATTTGCCGGAGGTGAAAAAAGACAATTTGTTCATTGAGATATTATATTATTTACAAGTTCTAACACCCTCTTGAATTTATAATTGAGACATTATATTATTTGCTATTTGACTCTTGTGATATTGTGTATGTGTTACTTCTTATGATATCATCGTTTCCATCATCTTGAAAAATAATTTATACATAAATTGGTTTGAGCTTGCGTTTGTGTGTGGGTAAATTGGTTAAGTAAAACTTTTTCGAAAAATATTATTTTGCTGCCATGATCTCTCGAGTTGAATTGACGCAATTCAATGATAAGGGAGATTATTCCATTTGAAAGCCAAAAATGAAAGTTATTTTAATCCAACAAAAAGTTTCTAAAGCTCTGACGACCCGGAAAAATATCCTGATGCATTAAAAGTTAAACCTGATGAAATTACTAAAATGAATGAAATTGTACATAATTTGATTATATTGTATTTATCTGATGATGTTTTAGGACAAGTTGAATAACATAAGATGTCAAAGAGTTGTGGGAAGCACTTGACAAGTTATTTTTGGAAAAAATCTTTTTCAAACAAAATACATTTGCTTCAAAAACTTTTCAATTTTAAGTTAGACCTGGAAAATGATTTTGAATCCAATTTAAGCGACTTTAACAGACTCGTCAAGTATTTGGCCCACAATTATAAGAAATTTGATAATGAGTATCTAGCGGCTATACTTTTGAATGCTGCGCCCAAATCCTATAGAGATGTTAGGAATGCTATTACGTATACTAAAGATACTTTAACCCAAGATATTGTGACCGATACTTTGAGGGTTAGAGAGTTAAAGCTTAAGAAAGAATCGAGAGGTAGCTCGAGAGAAGAGAGTTTGTTTGTTAGAGGGAGGAATGAGACGAGTGAGAACTACTTTCAAAGTGAAAAGGGCATAGGGAAATCGAAGGGTAGGTCTAAGTCTAAAGATAAGAGCGATAAGAAATGCTTTTATTGTGGTAAGTTATGGCATTTTAAGATACACTGTGATGACCTTAAGAAGAAACAAAGGCCATAATAGAGTGATGATCAGACTTAGTTGCTGTAGGCGATTCCCTTTATTGTTTACATGTTATGACCATGTCAAGAGATTTTGACACTGATGTAGATCATGCCGTGATAACATACTTGTTATGAATATTTCTAATGTTTATTTTGACATTGAGTGGATTTAGACTCAAGTGCAACTGTTCTATGTGTCTTGTTAAGTCTTGATTCTATATTTACGGAGATGTGAATCCTAAGATGATCGTACACACAATATGTATACTCGTGGATGATCGTACACACAATATGAAGGGAGTAGGTGATATCGTTATTAGGATGCATGATAGCATAATTAGACCCCTTATAGGTGTTAGGTATGTCTTGGGCCCGGCAATGAATCTTATTTCCTTAGGCACTCTAGAGAAAGAACGTTATGAGTTCAGATCTCATGTTGGTACTTTAAAGATTTGTAAAGGGCCTCTAGTGGTTATGAAATGTCTAAAAAGGAATGGGCTATATTCCTTCAAGGTGAAGCATTAGGCAGCAAAGAGTCGACATTATCTTCAGTATGTGAAGATAGATCAGATATTTAGCATAAGAGGATGGGACACATTGAGAACAAAGAGTTGAAATATCTTAGTGATCAAAATTTACTTGGTAAGGATAGTGTTACACCTTTAAGTTTTTGCGAGACGTGCGTTCTAGGAAAGTCACACAAGGTCAGCTTTAGGATAGTTGAACATAGCACTGAGAGACCATCAGCTACATTCATGCAGATTTATGGGGTACAGAAAAATATCCCACACATTTTCTGTTCATTGTTGATGACCACTCGAGGAAAGTTTGGGTATATCTCCTTATATCCAAATCTGAAATTTTTAGTAAGTTTAAGTCATGTCTTGCCTTAGTTGAAAATCAAATGGAAAAGGGTGTGAAAATTCTTAGGACATACAATTGTTTAGTGTTTTGCAACTTTGAATTTGATAGTTTCTTCAAAGGAAATGGTATAATAAAGTACATGACCGTGAGACATACCCCCCAACAAAAATGGATGAATCGGACTTTAATGGATAAAGTTAGATGCATGATGATTAGTTCAAGATTGTCTAAAGGTTTCTGGGGGGTAAAGCCATGTGTACTGCTGCCTATTTGATAAACTTCAAGACTTCCCAAGAGTCGTGGTCCAAAAAA